TGAGCACCAGAAACTATGTGGTGAGCACCAGATACTATGTGGTGTGCACCAGATGTTATCAGGTGTGCACCAGAAATTGTGGTGATCACCAGAAACTGTGGTGAGCACTAGATACTATGTGGTGAGCACCATATATTATCAGGTGTGCACCAGAAATTGTGGTGAGCACCAGAAACTATGTGGTGAGCACCAGATACTATGTGGTGTGCACCAGATGTTATCAGGTGTGCACCAGAAATTGTGGTGAGCACCAGAAACTGTGCTGAACACCAGAAACTGTGGTGAGCACCAGAAACTATGTGGTGACCACTAGGTAATATATGGTGAGCACAAGATATTATCACGTGTGTACCAGAAACTATGTCGTGAGCACCAGCTATTGTCAGTTAAGCACCAGATACTAATGTCTTCTTGTAAACACTTCCAAAGTTCAGTCTTAGAAATTGGTTGCATTTTCTGCTTCTCACAATCCAAGTAAAACACATTCAGTGATGTTAAGGTCTGGACTCTGGGGTGGTCCATTGTTCTGAGACCACCAGCAGCTTCTTTTGTTCATAAGTACATCTTGATCTTCTTGGCATGAGGTTGGAGTCGTTATCTTGCTGAAGAATTAATTTCTTCCCAGTCAGATGTTTTGTAGGGAGGACTGCACAGTGTATTAAAATTTATACTTATCAGGATTTATGATGCCTTCAGCCAACTCCAGATGTTTTTAGACGTCCCCAAACTTGCACTGATCCATCACCACGCCAGAAATGACAGTATGCCATGATATAAAGTTGGGGAGGTTATAGTTTTGCTCATACAGACTGAAAGAAGCTCGTCAGTGTTTTTCTCTTATATACCCTGGATTAAGGATTAAGGGGTTTGTGTTGCGCAGATCTCTCTGCCATCATCACGCAACACTCGAGCAAAACGATGCGTCTTTATTCGTGTCTGATCAGGTGGATTTTCAGGGTTTTGACTCAGAGTAAATGGATTATTTTGATTCAGCAGGACTGTTGACTGTTACTTTTCTGTTTTTTGACCATTTTCACTCTTCTGTTCTTGTTTTCCTCCTTTTCCATCCCCCTCTTTTCTTTTTGCATGTGCCCTCCACTGCCTGTGTTTGTTTTTGGGGGAAAAAAATGAAGAACTGGAACCATCGAGCTGTCACTCAAGTAGGCCTTTCCTTTTCAGAATTCAGCGTTTGATTAGTCTGGTCTGACACACAGTCACTGGCAGATTCCAATGGAAAAAGAAAAAGAAGAGCCCGCTACTCGCTTTCCCTGAGCACTTCCACAAAGGGAGGATAGATTCATAAGTGGCATTTTAAAAGAAACACATACTGTATCCTTGTTCAGACGAACAAGACGAATTCCAACTTGGCGCCTCCCTTAAAGGGGAATTCCACCAAATTTTCAAAAATTTTAAAAAATTGGTGGAATTCCCCTTTAAGCAAGGTGCTTAGTTGCAGACAAGTGTGTAAAATATCAATAGAATGTTAATGCCATTCATTTCATATATATATGTACACAGTGTAAAGGGCAACAGGTATTTTCAAATTATGTCAAAAACAAAAATGTCAATAATGGAGATACGGGGTTTTGTTCCGACAACAGCAATATATATATATATATATGCATATGTATATGCATGTATATATGTATGTATATATATATATATACACATGTATATATATGCATGTATATATGTATGTATATATATAAAATTGATTATATTATCGATATAATGCACTTTAATACTTCTTCGGTGTTTAATAAAAATCTTAATATTATCAATAGCACTTTATTGGTTTCCAATAATAAGTAGGATTAATATCCAGATTGCCTCATATTTCAAAGATAGTGATGAAAATTAATAGATATCTTTTGATAACTACAGCAGTGCAGCGTCTCGTTACCAAAAAAATCTTGATATAATGAATAAAACATGAAAAAATATGTTTTTGTTTGAAGCATTTCATTCTACACTGTTTGAGTTTATCAGTAGAAGCACATTTTTCATGACAAGCAAATCCTTTTGTTTATGATATGAATTTAATAAACTTTAATAAAGTTTGCAGGAAAAAACTTTGGAAATATTCGAATTTGAGCTGTTGATACAGCATGTAAATCCAAGGTGAATGTAACTCACATAACTGTCTAAGTATTTATGTATATAAACCTGTAAATAGTATAGTATTAAGTAAATGATGTAAATATGTACACAGTACAGTAAAATGACACTCCTGACTTTAAGTACTGTGAAAGTTTCAGGTGAGGAGTCAGCACTGCTGGGAAAAACAGCTGATGCAGTTTGTTTCTTCTTTGTATATTATATATTATATTAGCAGTGCTGTATGATTTTGTCACCATGTTCTCAGAGTTACTCCTGAAGCACAACAGTAAACTGGAGAGAAAAAAGAGAATGAATGCACATTAAAGCATGGATGACCGTCAGTGGGTGTTGCTGGGGGAAGTGAGCGAGGGCTTGATGTTCTTTTTGTTTTGGAACTGGAATCGAGCCATTGACACAGTCTGCTAACACAGATTACAGACACACGTGTTAACTCGGATGATTTCTCACCACTGATCTCTCGGTTACGCTACAAAGTGCAACCAGATTATTAGACATGGTTGAAGAATCAGTCGATTATGTGTAAAGCTGCACGTTGTGTGTGTGTGTGGGTTCAACTTTCAGTGTGTGAGTTTTACACCGTTTATTAGTGTGTGTGTGTTTTCTGTTGTGTTGTATATGAGTGTAGATGTGTTTTAATTCACACTGACCCAAATGGACATGACAGAAAACAGCAGGCCAGTCTTACTTTATTTTACCTTTTTTTTTCAGAATAAAAAGCAATATTGTTTTTAATAGATCAGATTCAGATGTCAGGAGAGGATTGATGAGGTTTGGCCCACACTGACCTGGAGAAATTCAGGCCAAATATATATTTGGTAACACCTTATTTGAAGGCTGCCTACATAGGGACTACGTAACACATGCATAAGCACTGAATAACCTATTTATAAAGCAATATTTGAGTACTTATGTCCAGCTTATGCAAGTAACCACAAGATGACATAAGTTGTCCTATGAAGTAACTGAGGTTGCATTGACATAAGGGACCTCAAACTAAAGTAATGGACATTTTCTCCATGTATAACACTGTTATGAAGCATCATTCCCAAGTAATGGAACTTAAAAGTATAGTTTAGAAGTTTGTATCAGTTCTACTTAGTTCTGACTTAAAGTACAGGACACTTACAATACAACATCTATTACTTCAGCTCATGGTGTTTTGCGATTACTGGCATAAGCTATTCATAAATACTGAAGTATTTCCTTGTGTTATTAAGTGCTTATGCATGTGTTATGACATCCTTATGAAGGTAGCCTTCAAATAAAGTATTACCAGATATTTCTGGAAGCTGCTGAGCCTCTGAACTTAACTACAGTAAAAGGGGAATTCCACTAATTTTTCAAAATTTCTGCATGACTTAATTGTAGAGATGTCAACAGAGTCATTCACAGTGGGTTGATGTGAAGTGATTCATTGTGGAGAAACTTACAGGCTCTGATTTCTTTACAGTGGTGGTGATAGGAACCAGGGGTCACCATGTCCATGTGTGTCTTCTGAGTTTTATATGTAATGTTGATGATGGGAAAATAGTGGAAAATATGAAAAAAGTAAGTTTTCTTTGGGGACTATATTGCCTTACAACGCCCTTCATGTACCCTTTGCTGTACACTTAGCATATATTATTTTATGACAGCTTCCTGTGATGTAGCTTTTCAAGACGTCTGGTTCCTATCACCACCAGTGTAAACAATTCTGACTCAGTAAGTTTCCCTAGAACTGATCATTTCGCAGCGAATGTCTTTACATCTGTTTACATCTAAACGACTTAAAGGGCCCGTATCTTGGAACCAAACACTGATCAGAAATCAGCACATTTATGTTTACCCATCTATTTGGCCTACAGCAGTTTAGCCCCGCCCATTCACACCGAGGTTATAAGAGTGTTTCAGTCTGGGCTGATTGTTGAATGAGGCATAATAAAGGGCCAATCACAATAGAGGCCACATTTATCAGACTGTAAAGCACAGTAACAAAAACAGCCTGTTGAATTCTGAGGGATAAAGAGAGGTTGGAAAATGTGAAAATGTCATGTAAAATCAATTATGGTCATAAAACCACACACCGTCACCTTGAGGGGTGGGGGTTAAATACCTTGAAAATGTAGGATATGGGCCCTTTAATCATGCAGAAATTTTGAAAAATCAGTGGAATTCTCTTGTAAACCTTCCTCCTATAGTCCAGATCCTATTTTAAATGGCCGTACGAAGTAAACACCAATTCACATTGGATGCCATGATAAAAAAGTGTGAATTGACGAGATGCATCCATATGTAGGGAGTTGTCCTCTTTAGCAACACGAAAGCCTTATTAGTGGCTCTTAATGCAGTTCTTGACACATTCTTTTTGCCAGGATGTGAATAGCAGGCTTAGATAGGAGGTCATAGTGTTCTTTTGTGTAGCGCTAGCCACGCAGCCATTGCTCAGGTGCTATTTAAACACTCCATATCGTTCCTGTTAAAAGGCCGGCTTGGCACACTTCAGTATGTATTTATAAATATGGAGAATATGCTCAGAACAGTGCTCTTTTGTTTGGAGAAGGGAAATGAAAACATACAGACATAAAGTGCTGTGCAAGTTGTAGAAACTTAGTCGTAGAAATAGAAGCTGTTTATCTGGGACGTAAGCCATTATTAGCTGGAATAAACTGATGTTAGTGGACGTATGACAACAAGGAACTTTACTGAAATCATTAAATTCTTGTCATGTTTTACGGCCTAAATGTTTATTTGTGTTCACTTTAATGTTATACAGTTTTTTTTCCCTGCCAAACCAGATATAAACCCAGATAAATAGTTTGCACAGTGCTGAAGTGTCCACAAAAGAATGGATGGATGGACTGTACTGTCTCTCTCTCTCTCTCTCTCTCTCTCTCTCTCAGGGCATCAGCAGCCTCTTCAGCTCTCTGAAGGTGGTGCGACTGCTGCGTTTGGGCCGTGTGGCCCGCAAGCTGGACCACTACATTGAATACGGTGCGGCCGTGCTGGTGCTCCTTGTGTGCGTCTTTGGCCTGGCCGCTCACTGGCTGGCCTGCATCTGGTACAGCATCGGCGACTACGAGGTCATCGACGAGGAGCACAACTCTGTGCGCAAGGACAGCTGGCTGTACCTGCTGGGCGAGACGACAGGGACGCCGTACCGCTTCAACAGCAGCGGGACAGGCCGCTGGGAGGGCGGCCCCAACAAGGACTCGGTCTACATCACCTCGCTCTACTTCACCATGACCAGCCTGACCAGCATCGGCTTCGGCAACATCGCCCCCACCACGGACGGAGAGAAGATCTTCGCCGTCGCCATGATGATGATAGGATGTAAGTAGTAAGGACTTACAAAACTACATCTCCCATGAGCGCCTTGTGTTGATTCTCTTGGCTTTGGCCGCTTCCATGACAGTTGGGTAATTTTCCCGCCTCACAGCTTTCGCGCAAGATCTGCTGTTTAAAGTTGGGGATGCTCAAAGTGAGCTAGTGCTTATTTGGCTGCTGTGTGCGAATAAGAAGCTCTCGGGAATGAGCAGAACTTAAACCAGAGCCAGTTTTAGGCAAATAGATGTAAAGAGGGTTCCGTAAACACCTCAGTGTCACTGCTGGACTGAGAATAGTCCACCAACCCAAAAATATCCAGACAACAGCGTCCTGTGACCACTGATGAAGGACTAGAGGATGACCAACACAAACTGTGCAGCAGCAGATGAGCTGTCGTCTCTGACTTTACATCTACAAGGTGGACCAACAACGCGGTGCTGAGAATGATCCAGCACCCAAATAGTACCTGTGGTCATAATGTTATGCCTGATTGGTGTATATTCCGCAGAAAAAGAGGAATACAAGACCAACAAAGCAAAACAAGCCCTTATTTATCAGTCTGAATTCCATCTGGCTGTGTTGTGAGTTTGATATAGACCTTAGTTACTGTAGTTTACACTTGCTTTGGTGTTATAATCAAACTGGCATGTGCTCCTGAAGGCCCTGCGTGGCTCCATGACTACTCTGCCGGGGTGTATGTGTGTGCGCGATGACTCATTGTTGACTTGCGTATGACTAAGCGAGAAATGATGGACAGTTATTCTCATATCGCTGTCATCTGTTGTTGTGAAATTGTGGAGAGAGTAAATATGGCCAGAGACGATCGTGATGAGCGTTTACGGGGAACGAAGCAGTGATATTCCTTCTGGAAATGATGGAGAAAAATATCAAAACTCACTGGTCGACACGTTAGGGACCGTCTCAAAAGATGACCATCTGAAAAACTTCTACACAACTACCACAAGCAGCAAAACACAGGGAGCTAGTCTGCAGGCAGCCATAATGCCGTTCCTGCAGTTCCTCACTCCTCATGAGAAGTTTGCATGTATGCGGTCGAACGCAAAACTTTGGATGCTCTTGGTCAAATAACATGTTGTATTAATACATCCTCTACAGAGAACACACTTCAGAACACTTTAATGCACTGTTACTGTTTATTTGCTGAATATGACATATAGAGAGGACAAAAATGTGGCTGGTGTAAAAGTAATGGCATGATTTATGATTTATTTTTTTAATTATATATTAAATTCAGCAAAAAAATAGAAAGGACACAGTAGCTATGTTTACGTGCAGCCTGGTAATCCATTAATAATCTGACTATTAGCTCAATCAGAATAGAATACATCCACGTAAACACCTCAGTTGGAATAGACTAGTCCAAATGAGGCCATTCAGAATACAGTTTCTATCCAGTTGAACGAGGTGGGTAATCCTGTAAATAATCCGTTAAATAGAAGAATAATATCCGTGTAAACGCCTGTATCTGATTACATTCCCTATCAGAAAGTTTAAGTCCATTCTGATCATGTTCGTCACGTCATAGTGAGAGTTTATAACGTTCAACGTGGCGGAGCAGAAACTGGTCTGCAGAGGAGACGAAGTTCATGCTCTGATCTTTAAAAGACGGCGGTGGGACGGACGTCCAGCTTATGTGTCTCAGAACACGACGTCTTCCTCTCGGCCTTCTTTAATAAGGACATGTGAAGGACGTTTTCCTGAGTCTGATATCATTTTAAAGCAATTAAAAACACAAGTGTGCCAGCTGAAAACTCAGGTAGCACACTACTGTTTGACTGGACTCACGTGATACTTGTTGTTATGTAACGTCTGGTGCGGATTACTTGTAGTGAGCATGTAAACGGAGATTTTCCATCAGATTGTTGAGTAGAGTGAGAATAAACACCTCAGTCTTAATCTATAATCGGAATGTATTCAATCAGATTGGCAAAAATCTTTGCATGTAAACACAGCCAGTGTGACGTATGGAAAGCTGGAATGTGACTGGCAGTCGCGCGTGTGTCCCGCAGATATTTGTACTTTACAGATTATTTGCACAATTTTTGATGTTTCTGTTTTTTAGAAATTACTGCTAATCTTAGATTTTCTAATTGAAAACGTTTAAAAATAGAAACAGCAGAAATTGTGAATGTAGTGTAGCATCCATGTGCTTGCCTGACATCCACACAGTCGGGAGGTGGTTTCTGTGGGGGGTGGGGCTTGCGAGATTGATAAATTGTGAGATTGTATTTACAGAAAAGATCTGGGTGACTTGACTTCCAGTGTTTGTTAGCAATGTTATCCTCTTAGTTACATTACTGAGGTAAAGATGGAATATTTGTACAACAAACATGTTTGGGCTGATTAACTACATCTGGGCTAAGTGGAAAACTGTGGACATTTGATTTTTCATGGCTCTAGTATGCGGAGGGAAGTGGCCACAGGTGTCTGACCAGAGTATGGACAGTTCTGGGTTCAGATTTGAAGCCGGTGTGTGTTGTGCCGCAGTGCCCAGTGGAAAAGTACCTTGCTTCAACAATAAGAACAGATCCACATCAACCTCTCCAAGTGGTCAAGAGTCAAACAGTTCTAAAAAGGGTCAGAGGTTGTGCGTAGGCCCGAGACAGACCGTTCCTATGTGTTTTGCTGGCAGTGACTGTAGATACAGCAGTATTATGTCTTTGGCTCTGGAGCTTCAGCTGTTCGATCGTACATCAGAGCGGGGTGTACCTGCCCGAGTCGCTGTCGTGGCACAAATGAATCGCTTTCCCTCTTTGATCTGTTTGGGAAATGTGATGAGACGGCTTCCGTGCAGATGTACTGCCTCTCATTGGCTGCTCCCAGGCAGAGCTGGCAGTGGGCACTGGAATGCCTGCTCTGTTGCCGTGGTAACCGCTGGCTTGGGGCGCTGGGGTAGAGGCTGATTAAAAAAAAAATGGCAATCAGGCCGGGACGGGGCAGGAGTTTGAACGGTGGGTGCACATATGCAGATGCAGGCGAATAAACAGAGGGCATGTGACCTCAAAAATGACCCAACTTGTCTTGAGGGTGACTGTCATTCACACCTCACTAACAAAATAAACACTAATTGCTTATAATGTGGCTGATATATTGGAATCTGGTTGATTGGGGTCGATGACAAACGAGGCTGTCAAAATGATAATTAAAAAAAAATGTGCAGTTTTTCTGTCTGATCAATGTGTTGATATTTTTCCGTCGCTTTTAGAATGGTCAAAATCCAATTTTAAACTGGAAAATCAATTTTACTGCAAAGAAAGTGTCAAGTGGTGAAACCAGAAGGTAATAGAAATGTTATATTTTAAGCTTATCAGTACTGAGAACATGTATGCACTAGTCTGTAGTATCTGCCTTGCATAAGACATTGTAAATTCCTGTTTCTTTAAATGTAAGATTTTTATAAATGTTATCATATTTTCATATGTTATAATAATAATACATGCCCATGGTTTTCCCAGGGTTACACCACTGACTTGATAAACTGAACCAGCCTAGAATGGCAACTTTTTCAAGGGCCCCTGACCTTGGCATTGCACCATGAAGGTTACTCGGGGTCTTCTTTATGATGCAATACCCTGCCCACTCTTTCTCAAGAGCGAGTCGGAAAAAAGCCCTTTGTTGTTGGTCGTGCCTCATGACATTTGAGGAAATCAGGAGTTACACTCTGAGTTTTTACACTGAAGCTTTTCAGTGAGTTGGATACTTTTAAAGCTTCCATATTTTTCAACGTTATGATCATGAAAGTTTCATAAAATCATGCCAAACTGTTTAGAATTTTATATGATTAAATCACCTATTTTAGTAGCCTCCTTATTCGTCAGATATGGTCGGGCGGTCGCATTTTAACCGTTCAAATTCAAAACGACTTGAAATCAGCTTAAAATTAGTTTCAGTTCATTTCGAAATTCCAAATAATTAACCCCAAATTTGGTGCCAAGTTGAAAAGTGATTTCGTGACATTTTGCCCAAAGGAGCCCAGACACAAACCACAGTGGGAGCTCAAACAAATGAATTTAGCAGTGTTTCTGTTATGCAGCCTCACTTCAAGGACTAACTGACATTACAGAGAGTTAGGCCCAATCCCATTACACCCCTCGCCCCTACCACTTAGCCCTACCCCTCCGTTTTGTGTGTTCACGTCTAGGGGTAGGGTGTCCCGATTCTTGTTGAGATAGAGGGGTAGGGCGAAGTGTTGGGGCTATGTGGTCTTAAAAACTGAGGTTTTCAGAGACTCCAAACAGAGTTATGAGAAAAAAAAGAACAGCTGGCAAGACGGCTGAACAAGAGACCAAAGAAACCCACGAATATGAGAATTTTCTCTGTTAAAAAATTACAATAATCACTGTATTATCTTAGCTTAATGTCATTTCAGTGCATTATGGTCCTTTTCTTCATAACAAGCATAAACAATCACTAGTACTATGCTGATGTCTCGGTAGCCAGCTAGCTAAATTTCACGTTCACTTTAAAGGGTCAGTTCCATTCCGGTGCCTCAAAGGTTTTCCTCTCTGCGCTTCGGTCCATTCCCGAACTGTCCCGTGACGTGCTAAATAATAAGTATGATCCTTAATTTTGTCCTCCATTTGCTTGAAAAAGATGGTTCTTCAAGGGTTCTTTAGTAAAGACAATGATTTTATATAGAACCATGAACCCTCAAAGAACCATTTGCATGCTTAAATGGTTCTTTGCATGGTGAAATGGTTCTTCAGACTGATGGAGAATATGCTGTAGGTGGTTCTATATAACACTAAAAGGGTTCTTCTATTGTTTCAAGCTTGACATCATAACAATAGCAGAGCCCTTTTGGAGCTATATAGAGCCATTTTCAAAGAAGTTCTATATATAGAAGCATAGATGTTCATGTGAATGGTTCTTTGAGTGTTTATGGTATATACAGAACCGCTGTCTTTACTAAAGAACCTTTGAAGAGCCATCTTTTTTTAGATATTCTGTTCGAAGATGCTGATTGTGAACTTTTAATCAATAAT